CAGATTTGGATTCAGAATCAATTTTACTCGTCGGATATATAGAGATAGGTCTAGTAGTGAGTACGGTACATTTTCTAGTCATTAAGATATAGAAACATTAGTTCCATGATAATTTATACCTTAAATGGCTAGTAAAATATTTAAACGATACAATTCCAAACAAAACATAACAAGATACAATTTAGGCATTATCATAATAGGGCCTACAAGATAGTAATTTATAAAATATTGAACAATTATCCTGGGAATTAGGTGGAAAAGCCACGCAAGTGATGTTCTACACGCGTTAGACTATCACGTGGCTACAAAACGGTTATCAGTACAAACTAATTTATACGGTACAATTGGCCTTACGTGCATTTATTTTGTAATCTCGTACAACTTCAATTAGTTTTTTATTGGCAAAAATCACACCAAGGATGATATGGTCAGAAATAAATATAAAATATGCAAAAAAGACACCGAGAAAAAAGATAAAATACGTGCAACGACAAGAAACAAACAAATAATATGAAATACATGTGCACCTACTTCATGGAAAACCTGTGATCAAATTCGGTCTCAAGAACTGAAGATCATTCCAAGGGTTGCCATCACGGTACCGTACTCTGCGCCATTACAGAACATAATTCGATTTTTTTTATTTGATATCAAAATTGACCAAAACCGAAACCAAAATAAATAATGGAGCCGTGTTAGTAAGGTAATAAATCAAATAAGACACTGGTAGCACTTTTTTGACTAAATTTTAATTATCTATTCCACACAATGGCGACGAATAGCTATTTCACCCGCGTTGTAATAACTTTGTAGAAGTTTTGCGTAATATTAGTATTCACTAATTTATTGAAAGCCGTCTGTGATTAAAATCGACCTCAACTCACGATCATTCCATAGGTTGCATCACGACACTCAGCGTCATTCGATTTGCTTTAATTGATAATACCATGACCTAAAAAAAAAAATTAAAAAAGCCCCGAAAGTAAATCAAATCTGTGACAAATATTATAGTTGTCTTAGATCAAATAAAACATTGGTTCAATTTATTGACTATCTTTTAAATTATCTACTACCACAAGCCGTCCACCCGAAGTATATACTGCGCATGCCCAGCTAGTAATTTCAACCGCGTAGTTTAATAACTTTGTAGCCTATTTTGGCGTAATGTTGCTATAATTTTATTTGAACAACGCTAAAAACATTATACAGTAACATGCATTTTAATGGAGTACGCCACATTTACATTATAAACCTTAGGCCTATTAATTGTTACCGTACATTAATATAATTTGATTGTTTTTGATTTGTATTCGTCCATGGTGTATTAGATGTAATGGTGTTTTTTTTTAGTGCACCTTTTTCTAAAACACAATAGTTCATATTAATAGTTATATTAATAATTAATATTTTGATAAAGGGTGAAACAAATAATTGCATTCACCTGAAGAAATGTTAACTGTTGTCAACAACTTAAAAATATTTCCGTTGCTGAGGAAGTGGTTGCCAATGTGAAAGTAAACACTTACAATGCACTGCATGGATAGGCATTTCTTTACTATACAGGTATCGGGCGAGTGGTACCCGTATTATTACGACAATTTGGTTTTATGCCTTAGATTGCACAGTGGCTATATAATAATGGAATGGTCCGATGACGCATCGACACACTAGAAGGGAGGGTCATCGATTCCGATTCAGCGTTTATTCCGTAACTTGGCCTGTTTCTAACCAGTTTAATCCGTTTTAGGAAATCAAAAACAACAGAATGCGCAGAGGTCATCATCATGGTCACCATGGGCATCACGGGGTAAGTATATGTTCTATGATGAGTAAAGTATATTACTTTATCATATCATATTCATAGCATTGTCAATAAAATGAATTGAATTACCATAAGCATATTACAAGAGCAGCGTTGAACTATACTTATAATATCGATACCAGCCCATTGTGTAAAGATTGAATGACAATCGTATCCATCATAACCGTGATTCATGGATTCATGTAATAAGCTCATAAACAAAATTGTTGTTTATCTTACAGAGAGGTTTTGGACACCATCATGGTCACCACCACCACCATCACGGTATTGGTGCCCCGTTGGGAGCTCTAGCCGTTGGGGCTGTAGCAGGAGCTGCGATTGCGAGCTCAAAACCTAAACCAAAGGAAACAGTTGTACACGTCGTACACGTAAGCATAACATAGTATTAAAATGACATATTACATGTACTTTGTACTTTCACATGGGCAGTAAAGAACATTATACAGTAGGCCTACTTTTAGGCTTTTATGATACTATATACATAATATATTGCATGTATATGTATCGTGTATAATTATATAGGCCTATATAATTATAGGAAAATATATATTATATATATATATGTTATAGGCCAATGTATATATATATATATGTTATAAGCCAATATATATATATATTTATACATATATAGCCTATATAATTATATATATATAATTATATATATTCTGTCTGTTTCCAATATATATATATATATATATATATATATATATATATATATATACACTCTATATATTCATTTTGAGCATATATATATATATAGGCCTTGACCTACTTTTCCCAGTTTGTTAGAAAATAGTCTACCCGAGTATTTATACCCTTTTTTATTTATCAATGTGTTAAATCGCGGTTCGATTGCCCAATATCACTGTTGTGTCATGACGATTATTAAGCAAGCACAGGTTAATTAAAACAGTAAATAGACCATCTTATATAGGAGTCGATATACATATAGGGCCTAGTAGAGTTGCTGGTCGGTTTTTGAATTTACGGCTCACGTGATACAGTGTATAACAGATAGCACCGGATCCGTGCTTAATGCGGTTGCACTGTTAAATTTCATTGCTGAATGCAAATATTCCGGCATTAATATTATTTCCTACAGCGAGCACGTGATGCATTTTGAAGTGCCATCACATGACATTATATAAACACGCATCGATTACGCTTGTCAATATCCTTTTATGACGTCATCGTTTCAGGTTATTCATAATCAGATACACCATGGATACACACAATATATCTTGCCTGTTCAATTATGGAAATTAGAATGTATAACTTAATAATGTTTTCTATAGCCATAGGCTATGGCGTTCGCTGAAAAGATGATACAAATACAATGTATAATGCGGATGTCACATCAATTACGGATTATTCATTACCGTATGTACTCCCACGATGCCTACATATTGGGCTATGGCATAGGTGTGACTATATCAATATCCTCATAATGGTTATTTAAACTAAATAAATTATTAATTAATATTTATGATTAAGACACATCTAGATGGCCGAAAATGGCACTCTCATACCTAAATTTGAATATAATTTTCCTTTTCTCTCCATTTTTTTTTTTTTTTTTTTAGAATTCTGAAAAAATAGGGAGGGGAGCTGGCCGGCTGTTCCCCCTACCTTGAATCCGCCACTGAAGAGAGATACACAGAAAATAGATGAATGAGTAGGTCTGCCAAGTACCTTTCCCCCATCCAGACTCTGTTTAAAGTATCACGAGCTGTATAATGTGACTAAATTTATACTCGCGAACTAAACCCCAACTGCACCACAATCGCTACATGTATTCCTTAATTCTTAATAATAGGCGTATCAGTCTATCCTTGGTATTACCTAATGATACACGCTGTTTTTTAAATACCACACGTATATCCGAAGTCCTGTATTAATAATCAACGTCACTATTTCAATGTTATCTCTACATTATATACGGTAATAATCAAAATGTTAACTTACAAGACAACATGGTAATAGTGATAGGTGGGAACTTTTCAGATATCTTACCAGGATTTCGTAAAAGTTATCTTGACAGCATTTAAATGGGGGAGGTGATAAGGGGGGCACGAAAGTGAAGGGGATCAATGATTAAGAGAGTGGTCTTAAAATAAGGTGATATGAGGTGACTTGTTTTGCTTCAAACACTTGAGGGGGCGACTTGGGGAGGGAAGTTTTGTTCACCCCACCCCCCCCCACCCCCACTGATACGCCATTTGGATCTTTTCGTTTTGTTTGCTTAACGAGATATGCGCTTACTTTATGATCTTAATTTTTGGGTATACGTTTAAAAACTATTCAATATTAGAATTACTATAACTAATCTGGTTTATAGACTAATCCATTCAATTATCTGGCAGCAAATTAAGTCTTTACACGAATTCTAGTACAAAAAATATTCTATCGTTCTTAATGATATATATATATATATATATAATATATATATATATATATATAAAGAAAGGTAAATACAGTGCTCGAATAAAGGACATAATAATACATAACATAGCTCTCAGCGAATGTAGTTATAAATAACCTATGAAATAAATAAACAAATGAATACAGGAATTGTGTAATAAAATTCCTCCGACGGGCAAACGGCCACATAATGCAAAACTATTTAATATATATATATATATAAATATATATATATGTATATATATATTTATATGGTTGTATATGTAATGCATGGAATGGTTTGCTTTGCAAAAATAAATCAAGTTTAGAATGTCGAGATCAACATATTATAAATATACATTTCAGTTTACAAAACACTTTACAAAATTATATAATATCATATTAGGCCTAAAAAATAATGGTGTGTTTGCTGTCACAATGTAAATATTGAAGTGAAGGGGCGGGCCTTTTTTTTTTTTTTTAGAAAGATTACCAAAACGCAGGCTTGTATATAGATTTGTAGAAGATGAGGGGGTGGGATAAAAAACTTTATTTTTTTAATGTAGAAACTAAATATATGTACAGGTCTCCTTGCAATTTGGGGCTAATTTTTTGTGGTTGGGATTGGAAGAGGGATTGGTAGTACTGTAGTAGTACCAACCAAGAGGGGAGAAATTTTAGAGTTAACCAAGCGTGAAACGGTCGTAGTGGGTGTGCTATGGAACCGTCGGTCGTTTAAAATCAAAATCGTGTCGGTTTTAACTTAAAAATGAAACTTTTAAGAAAGAAAGAAAACAAGGAAAAAAAAGAAAAAAGACCCGCCCCTTATTTTCGGATTTTAGGGCGGCGGATGACGGACAAAAAAAAAGTGGTTTTTTTTTAGGCTAAAACAAAAAAAATAGCAAATAATTTATTAACTTAATTGTTCAACTATATCATCACAGCCTGTATATTATAATTCTTTTTTTGCATGTTTGTTAGGCCTACTCATTCAATACTAACTACATGTCTTTGTTTCTGATTCGATAGACTCCACCTCAGCCGGCACCGCCTCCACCTCACAATCCCGCATATCCGGCTGCACCTCCGGGCTACTATCCCCCACAACAAGGAGGCTATCCCCCACAACAAGGAGGCTATCCACCACCACAAGGAGGCTATCCACCACAAGGATCATATCAGTACCCACCGCCACCAGGGTATTACCCACCGCAACAACAGTATCCTCCTCCAACAACCCAGTGATGTGTTGTAGAGCTTCGCTCTTTAGTTTTCAGTGTCAATGTAATTATAAGTCAGTACAAAAATATATAGACCCTATTATGAATCCATATACAGTCATTATTATCACTGTTGTATCAGTCATTTGCAAAGTTATTTTGTTTGAACATTATTATAATTATTTTCTGTTACATTACTTTTGTAGCTTATTATTAGATTAGAACAAAAGTATATTTTGTATAAAGGTAACTACCATCATAATGTAAATGCACGCCATTGTTTATATTAGTATTTGATCTTAATCGTAATTACTGTACATTGTTAATTAGAATAACACTATGCATGATAGCTTTGTACTGGTACCGTGACCTAAGGCAGACTTAAACATTTTATTTACTCATGAACATGCATAATTAAAATACGTACACGTAAATTGTCTGCGAAGTGAGGTTTATCTAGTGGGAACGACTAAGTGTTACCGTTGTTATACTTTCCCATTGGATCTGGTAAATTCGATTTCACTAAGATTGCTAGTCAAGAATGACTTTTTTACTGTTTCAAAGATGTATTTAAAAATTTTTAAACTTTGATATTTTATTTATTTATCTATTTTTCTTTCATCGATATGTCTACTTTGGATATTCTTTTTTATGTCCTAAATGTTTTTTTTTTATATTCTTGAATGTGTACATTTTAGCAAATATATTGTAATATCTAATCTACCATAAAGATTGCAATAAAAGGATAATTTTAATTAAATAATAACATTTTAGAACAAAGAATTTTATCATATAATATATCATTTATGGATATAATACGATATATTTTTGTATATAAGTAGGGTCTATACATTTTTATCAATCTTATATTTTAGTAGTATTTTATAGTAATGCATGGTGTACAAATCATCAATAATGTTTATCCAACAATAAATATAATCAAAATTATTTTATTTTTAGACTGTAGTAGTGTGCATCTTTGTATGATTTTCGAGTAAATAAAGTTGTACGAATGTAATTCTGCGTTTTATATGCTTATTAGGCCTATATAATCAAACAATATGTTTTTAAATAATAGGCTCATGTGATTCTGATTTTTTTTTCATTGCGACGCAGCTGGCCTATCGCAACGTCACCTATTCGAATATAACTGAGGTTGTCGAAATTTCACTGTGACCATCAGGAAATTTAAGCTCTAACAAATACAATTGGTACCAGCCAGTGGTACCAGTACATTATTGTAAAACCTATAAACACCAGTAAGATATCAAAGCGTAACATTCCATTGTCATAAAAGGGTTAGATCATTCATAAGCTAGGCATTTATTGTAATTTATTCATGAAATAATTCGTACAAAAATATTAACTAAAACTTGGACAAAAATGAATCACTTTTTACGTTCCAAAATTTAAGCCTGATTTTATGCTAATCTTCTGAAAATAATCATTTGAGAGAATCCTGGATTAAAATAAGTAAATAATTAATCGAAGAGTCTGACTAATGAAACATGTGATATTGAATAATATACTGTAAAATTTAATGAGAATCAACAAAATAGGATTTCTCCCCTAATTGACAATTATTTGTTAAAATTGGAGTGACTACGGTACGACATTAAAGATGCCCAGAAGAGTAAGTTTTTTGGTCAATATTTTTAGATCTTAGTAATTGTATGAGACGCATCGTGGAGTCTAAATAGTCCTAAGACTAGTACTGTATATTTAACACACACCGTATTTATCCGAATAAACGCCTGGGGGTGTTTATTGTTGAGAAAGGTTTTTGAGGGGCATTTATTCGAGAGAGGCGTTTATTATTTTTGTTAATGTAAAATGGGTACTCAAAAAAACAGTCATTAATTTCACTGTGAATGTGGAACTAACAACACATAGTTGTCAAAATGTGTTATTGCGTGAGCATAAAGACTTCTTGATCCCCCAACCAGGTACAACTGATTAATTCTGCTGGCGCAGAACATTAAGGCCAACTCAGACAGCGTCGGCCGACGCAGCCCGACGCGATTTTTTGTCGCGTCGGGTATGTGTGAGTTGAACGCAGACGCGATGGTGTGCGTCGGGGGCAGTCGCGTAGTAGAATATTAAACGTGTTTAATATTTCTCACGACGGCTTAAGACTGTCCCCGACGATAAATCGGGTCGGGATGCGTCGGCCGACGCTGTCTGAGTTGGCCTTTACAATGTAAAAACAGCGTGGAGGATTTACACACAAAGCTAGACGCAATGTTGTCCCGTTTTTGGTGACACGTTTAAAAGCTAAACGTGTTTAGACATAGCTTAATGTATTTAGGATACCGTATTGACTGTTTATAAATGAATGTGCTTAGATTACATTTAATGCTAATCAACAAAACGTCAGAAACCTAACCACATTCTGGCCTAAGCACGTTTAGTTTTTAAACGTGTCACCAAAAACGGGACAACATTGCGTGGAGCTTTGTGTTTAAATGCTCAATGCAGTTTTTACAGTGTAGGCCTAATAGAATGTGTTGAAAATGATGTTGCTTCCATTAGATTTGTTTTCAGTCATTTTTTTAAGGGGCGGGGGGTGGTGTTTATTCAAGGAAAAATAAACGCCTCGGGACGTTTATTCGAGGGAGGTGTTTATACCAATTGAGGCTTTAGAGGGAGAGTTTATTCGAGGGGCGTTTGTTCAAAGCCCTAGCGGGGCGTTTATTCGAATAAATATGGCATCGATTTATAGTTTGTTAGGCCTATATTTTATTTTTACATCTGGCATTCGAAATTATTTTTCATGGAGTTATATATTTCTATTGTACCTACATGAATTACGGAATTACTTTAATTTAAACTATCATGTAATTGTAAATGATCAGCGGATGTGTTTGGTATAATTAATCATTGCAAATAAATAATTATGAATTTCTCGATTAATGTCGCATGTTAGTTCTGGTATTATTTATTGTTGTATCAATCATTCATACCTTTTCCAAAGAGAGTTGTTGTTGTCGGACCTCCAAGAAGACGCGGTCCCCCTATTGGAGCGCTTGCCGTTGGAGCTGTAGCCGGTGCAGCAATTGCTTCATCCGGGTCTAACAATCAACGATCACATGGTACTACTGAGACAGTCGTCAATGTACATGTAAGAACAACTTCTATAAAGTTTAATTTATTCATTTTGAGAACTGATTACAAACTTTCTATTTTTAAAGTTTTCAACAACTAGTCAAAATTCCGTGTAAAAGTTTTTATATTTTATTTTTAAAAAATGGTAATTATACCTTTATACGGAGACATAGAAATATATATAGAAACATTACTCATTACTAGCGAGATTTAATGTTTAATTATACGATTTGTGTTCATGTTCAGTGGCGGATCCAGGAATTCGAAATAGAGGGGTCCCAGGGAGGAACTATTGGATCATGGACCTATAATAGGTCCATGATCGGAGTGTAGACCGCCATGGTTGGGGCTGAGGTAAAAAAGAATTATGATTAGGGCACCTCTCCATTTTTTTTTTTAGTTTTGGAAAATTTAAGGGGGGGGGGGGGAGGCGTCTCTCCTCCACTTCTCCCCCACCTCCTGTATCCGCCACAGTGATCGTTGTTTTCTATCAGCCTACCCTCTTAGGAATATAGTCCAACGTCCTTCACAAGAGACGTTTAGCCGTATGTACAATGGTCCCCTGTCTACTGCACTTAAAAATCATTGGAACAGATGGCATACACTAGACCGTCGGCCGACGAATCCATCCCTTTGTGAGCGCTTGACGACGCGACGTGGCATCGTCGTGTTGAGTTCTCCATGGATGATGTCGGCCGACTCCAACTCCGCTCACTGGCGACACGACGGCAGTCTGAATTTATTCTGGTCTGGTCATTAAAAACGATCCGTGTGCGCACGCGTCGTGGAGTTGCACTTTTCATAGAATCTCGTTAAGACGACCGTATGACACAGTGAGTTCCCGGCTTTAAATGACCAATTTAGGTATTTTTCTTTATTACAATCTAGGTGGACGGTTTACCTCAGAATGCTCACATGCAGCCAGGTCAACAGCCCGGACACTATCCACCTCAGCCAATGACGTACGCACCGCCGCAACCGAATTACCACCAGAACTACTATCCACCGCCAAACAACCAACCACCACCACCTGTTGCCTATCCTCCGTCTGGCGCTGCATATCCACCTACACAGCCACCTTCTGGAGTGCCACCAACTAATAGTTATCAGGGTTATCCTCCACCACCTTATGGCTGGAATTAATGGAGCAATTCGTTGGAAACTGCAATACCAGATTAATACAATCTTGTAAACATGCTTACTATTAATTGGTAGACATTACGTTATTCAATACTTCTACTAAACTTATTTATTAGATTCAGCGTAACTTGACATCATTGGAACGGTTACAAAATGTTAATATTTGTATCTGCTGTTTCTTGGATTCAAAGCGCACAGGTGTTCGATGCTGAGATTGTCTTTAAAAAAAATTAATGACATTCAATTTGTCTTCATTGTTTTATTTACTCACCTATTATATTTATATGTTTTAATCGAATAACATACATAAATTTATATATAATTCTATTTATTAATTTTATAGATGTAAGCAGATGTTGAAATAGTTTTGCCTATTTTTGAATAAACGATATGCCAGCGTTATCAATTATAGTTGTTTAACGTTGTTATTGTGAAACGAACTAGGCCTACATAAAAGAAACCAATAATAACATGCGTCTGCATTATGTTGGAGTTGATTAAAAAATTCAAAACGCCTTTCAAATTTTGAATAGCTTGAAAGGGTTAAAACTAAATTAAAATAAGAAACAAATAAAAAATATTTTTTTTAAATTAATTTACAGAAATTTTACTGCAAAAAACCTTAAAATAATTATCAGCCAATATCTGTATATAGCCTTTTCAAAGTTTTAAATTATTAATTTTTTGAATTTCTGATTTTTTCCCTTTTTTTTTTTTACAAATGATATATAGTTTATCTTTATTTTTGATAACTGTGATATTTTTAATATGTACTGGGGAAACCACTCGATAGTTGATTTAGTTCGCTTTTTGTTTTTTCTCTCTGTTGTTGTTTCTCATTGCGTCTGTTTTTTCCTGTATTTTTCGAGAAAAATAAATGATACGAAAAAGGAAAGTGTTATTTAACACTGACCGTTGTTTCTCATTTACATTTTGAATTGTAAGTTAATGATTTGCTTACAATAAATATACAAAATCAACAAAATATGAAATTGAATTTTTCATTTGTTTTATCTCTCATGACAGACAGTAATTTAGGATAGGTCATGATTGCTTTCAATGAATTGTTCTATTTCTGCGGCCTTTTAGAAGCTTCTTTCAAACTCATTTTGTAAGAGTACCGGTATCGTTAATTAAATTAATACAGGTTTCATTCCAATTAAGGACCCATCCAAGGCTCCAATTAAAGACCACCTCCTATTAAATACATTTTTTTCTGCGGCCACGGTTGAATGCCTATATTTTATCATTAGCTGTTCCCTCCAATTAAAGACTATATCTAATTTTAGAGACAAAAGACCATGGTTTTGAAGGGCCCAACTCGAAATTTTCCCTCCAATCAAAGACCAGTATAAAATACATAGTGATGTTAAAGCATTTTTCCTATATTAAATTATGCTATGACCTTCACATAGAAATATTAGCCAATACACATTACAAGATAATAGGTCTATGGTGTTTTTGTACAGTGTGTAGTGTGGCCCGAATATTGAATAACAACGATAATGTTAGTGGCGATTTTACAGTAACACTTTATAATGGAAAATTGATGTATGGACCATATGTTCTATTAGGAATAAAAATAACAGCATGCAGTACCGGTAACTGTACATATATATAAAGTTATAAGAATGATATTTATACGCAACTCATTTATCCGTTGATTTTACCGTTCTTTATGTAAATTAACGTTTTGTTTCTAGGTGTCAAGTTTAATTAACTTAATGTGCTTCTTTGTTTTAGTTTGTTTGTCTGTAGGTAGACTTCTGAGCTTTATGTTCTCTTGTTTTTTTTTTGTATTGTTGATTATAAGGATGCACTGTTCACTGTAAACGTGTGCCACCGATCTGAAAGTGTACATCCATAAAAAATAAGTAAACAAAATATATTTTAAACTGTTTAATGTATTATTTCTTCATTTCTCTCTAAACGAGAAAACTAAACACCACATGTGCGCATTAATTTTAGTCTCCTGCAGAGTTTCATAAGCCTAGAAGCGTTTTTTCCCCCATGCAACACAATAAGCAATATCGTTTCTTTTAGCCAATCAGAACATAGGAAGCCCCGATGACGTCAGACATACTCATGCGTAATTAATCAGGATCTTCACTCTGCTACATTCTGATTGGCTAAAATGAAATTCATATCCTCATGGAGGAATTAGTTTAGACTAATTTAAAACTAATTCTTCCCATGGTGTAGACCTATTGCAGAAAAAATACGCTCTCCGCGATGGGCCATGGAGTCTCCTGGATATTGCCCTTCCGCGCTCCCGCGATCAAGCAAGATACCATCTCCTATCCCCCAATTTCATGAGCATGATTTTACAAATTTTTACTACTGTATTATCAAATTGTCTACCAGAAGTCAGTGCCACTGGATCATCACCCGGTGCACAGCAAAATTAGACATTCACGGTAAGAAAACTTACTACGGCCACTGCCTGTCATTTAGTGTTCTTTTAACTTTTGTGTGGCTTCCGAGAAATGGTGTATAATGATTCAGGAACAGCATCCATTCTGAAACACTTGAAAGAAAACTTTCAAACATTAAACATTTATCATATCATGGTTTTTGGCAGACCCAACTAAAAATGTTCCTTCAAACATAGGGCCTATAGTGATTTTAGTGTTTTTAATGCAGTTTAAAAAAAATATATGAAAATCGGGCCGCATGTCACAAGGAAAAATAACCTGGGGAAAATTTCAGGAGGAAAATATCTGGGGGGAGGGGAAGGGTGGGGCATGCAATCTTAGATTCGATTTGTTGGAATAAAACAATCTTACATTTACTACGGTACATATATTATCATTTCTTAATTTAAAACAGAGATATTTAAAGACCACCTTTAGTGTCGGTCTTTAATTAGGGGAATTTTAATTACCACAAAGCTGCTAAAGACCACTAAAACCGCGGTCCCAAAAGTGGTCTTTAATTAATTTGGAGGAAGACGTCTTAAAAACTTCATCATATTAAAGGACGGAAACTCATGGTCGCAAGAGACGAGAATTTAGGCCATCTGACGAAGTTTGTGGGTGTCCAGCAGATATTCCCCTTTTTAGGGGATTTAGTCATTTTAATATCTTATTAAAATGATTTCACACTTGTTAGTGATTTTTTTTACTGCTGGAGGAGGTGGTGAGCTGGAGGAGGGAGGGTTGCTCTTTGTCATTCCCTGTTCAGAATAAATAAAATCATAAGGTACAGATTGACGCCTGGAGTATAAAGCCTATAGATCCTTTACTGCCTTAACACGAACGATAGTGGCGTTCTCATGTCAACAACGAACAAAAATGTCAGGCCCTAGAGGGAGAAGTCACAGGTGAATGTCACCGCAAATTTATAATGTACTGATCAGTAAGTACAATACACTGAAAAGATGTGTGATGGAGATATCGCGACGATTGTTATCGATAATGGATCTGTGGCTTGTAAAGCTGGTTTTGCAGGGGAAGATAGCCCGAAGGTCATTTTCCCAGCAATCGTTGGTTGGCCTAGGTATCAGGTAAGAACTAATGGCTAGCCGCTAAGCCGATCTCCCAACGTGCATAGGCACAACATACACGACTGTGTAAAGTGGGCGTAGGCCGGGCTTAGTCTAGACTCTAGTGGTGTGCCTACAATCTTCTGGTTTTGCCTTTTGTTATTATTGCTGCTTAGTAAATGCTCACAACTGTGATTTAAACTTGGGCTACCTGGCCACGCCCACTCCGTTGCAAATTAGGCCTAGGCCTACATCATTTTGGTTTTTTTTTTTTTTTTTTTTTTTTTCGAAATTAAACATCAAGAAATTGAATATTTTTTTGACAAGTATTAGGATTGAAGTGAGCCCTCACTCAGTACCTCACTTTAAATCAGGGCCTGTGTGGTTAAATCCCAGGGAAAAAAATCCTAGAATGAAAACTGTTCTGCTTTTTGGATATAAGTGCTGATTTCTGTGCATAATTTTTCAGAAAATTAAACCTTGCACTATTTCTCAGTATTGATGTATTGTATAGTTATTACAATTCTGTTCACTGTTTTCAATAGAAATATGAATTTCTTCTACTACATCTCTTTTAGTTGACAGGACAAAAAGATTATTTTGTCGGTCATGAAGCCTATTCCAATCTCGAAACTTTGAGTATTGAGTATCCTATTGAACGTGGCATCATCACCAATTGGGACGCCATGGAAAAGATATGGCACCATTGCTTTTATGATGAACTCAACGTTTGTCCAAAGGATTATCCAGTATTACTGACAGAACCTGTGTTGAACCCTATATCAAATAGAGAGAAGATGACAGAGGTATTAAGGCCTAGCTTTATTTTAGGTGTTACAGTAATGTTTGTTTGTATTTATATGTTCGCTTTTAGAAATTTTAAATTTTAAAATAAATGATATGATATGATGTGAATAAGATGGGAAAACGCAAATGTTAAAACAAGAAAAACCTGAGGTGTTATTTGTTATTTTATCGCAATTTTTATTTTGAATGTCGGCCGACGAAACTATCTTGCTTACATTAGTCGAGGTTAGATTCAGTCTGTACCTGGTTTTTTTTTTTTCATATTGCAGTGGAAGTTGTTGAATATTTCCAATTACTTCTTTTCGAGTTTATCCATTCAAATTTGATTGTACCCATCAGGTAATGTTTGAAACATTCAACGTTCCTGCTTTCTATGTGAGCATCCAGGCGCAGATGTCTATTTATGCCTCTGGTAGAGGTAGTGCTTTAGGCGTAGATATAGGGGATGGTGTGGCACATATTGTACCTATCTACGAAGGATATGCCATCAGAAAAGCTATACAGAGGATCAACTTCGGAGGATGTGACCTCACCGAGTATATGAATAAGTTGCTGTGTGAAAGAGGGTATACATTTAGGAATACAGGTTAGTACAAGGGTTGAGTTTTTATGATTTTTAAGAATGGGCAAAAGAGAATGAACATAGTTTGAAATAAACTTTAGATTAATATAACCAGAAGGTCTTGGGTTGGAATCCCAATGAGGACATAACTGTCTTCTAAAATATTTATTACCACCTTTAATTAACACCAGTGGAGGTGTATCTCCATACCACAATAACTTTAATGTTATTTTACTTTACTTTGGATTAGGAAATTTCATAGTTGAGGATCCTAAAATCTCTCACTATATTCTTAAACTGAGTAATTAACATAAGAATGGATCCTAAGTTTTATGCTTTAACACAGGAAAGCCATAATAAATTTACTCATAACTTTGGCAATAATAAGTTGATACCAGTAATTGACCCATCATTGTAAAGCCTGTAATGTAGAGATAAGAATATATTAAAAAGTCCATTTTCATTGTTTTCCCACTGATGCTGGTTTTGAGATGGCAAACCTCATTTGTTTAATAAAAATAATAAAAATACTAAATATAAATAATTAAAAAACTTTTATTTTAGCGGAGATGGAAAAGGTACAAAAAGTAAAGGAAAACCTCTGCTACGTTGCTCAAGATTTTGAGGAAGAGATGAAGAGGGCAACATCCAGTTCATCTTTAGAGAAGAGCTTCCTACTTCCTGATGGTCAGGAGATCACAATCGGAAGCGAGCGATTCCGATGTCCCGAAGCCCTATTTAACCCATGGCTAATTGAAATGGATCAATGTGGAATTCACCAGACTGTACACCAAAGTATAATGAATTGTGGAATCGATACAAGGAAGGACATATATTGTAATATTGTGCTGTCTGGATCAACGACGCTCTTTCCAGGCTTTGCAGAGAGATTGCAAAAGGAAGTGAAGTCATTAGCGCCCCCATCCGTTAGAGTCAAGATTATTGCTGCTCCTGAACGAAGCATGAATGTCTGGATTGGTGGCTCCATTCTTGGATCTTTATCTATGTTTCGAAAAGTATGGATAAGTAGGAAAGATTATGACGAATTGGGCCCAAGTGCCATCCACAAAATGTGTTTATGAGGCAGGTAATGTCTTATGGTAATACCAGGAAACCTCAACTCCACCGAGCCACAAATCAAATTGCCTCAATTTAACTCAGTCTTGCCATAACAGGCCTGGTGGGTTTCACATGGACCTGAAATGGATCAAAACCTTTATTAGGCCACATACTGTTTCTGCCAGAATTAGCATTTGATAAGAAAAACTTGACCAAAATCAGTGGCATCATGTTGGGGGATGACAGGGTGCAAAGCACAAAATGCCTGGGTCTGATGGGCCCAGCACAAAAGAAATGGATATAAAGTTAAAATGTATTCATGCTGTACAGTGCATGGTGCAGTATTTGAAGTAAAAACTCTAAAGCTCATCGTCCTAATCCACTGTGTTTCAGAAACTGTCATGGGACCTTGTTCCTCTGACCAATATATTAACCAAAAATTAAAAATAATGATTTTAGTTAGGCTGTAAGGTATTGGTAGCACATATCAGGGCCATCCAGCTTTAGCCAGACCACTTTTTCTACTACTTTTTAAAATAAATATATACTGAAACTTATAAAATAAGATAATTAATTTATTATTAATGTTCGCAAAACTCCATCCGCATGCTCTTGCTTTGTATTGGCATTAAAAATTTTTGACAAAGTTGATTTTGAAAATGTTTAGATGTATGCATATATAATAAAATTTATTGTAACTATAACATTTTGGGGGTTGGAGACAAATTGTCGTCATAGAGGTACAGGGGACAAGTTGGCCCTGATTATTTGCATTCAAAATTTAAACCCCTAAAGTGATTTCCCGGCAGATGAGTCATTTTTTCAACCATGAGTTGGAGCTGAGACAGGTATTGTATCTAGTTCACTTTCACCTGTATATGCCCCTGCATGGGGTTGGAATAGGTGAAATAGTAGCAGGGTGCTGCCAGCTGCTATTTCTGTGAATGTGGAGATGCCATGCAGTATTTTCAGAAGTCACTCACCTAAGCTCCAACCATGGTAGGGCTGTGGTAGGTATGAACTCTAGTCCCCACTAACTTTAAATCTGCATATGGAGAGGATGGGGACAGTGAAGAGAGTCTACAGGTTTGCCAGCTGCTATCCGGGCATCCAAAGGTGCTATATTTTTTAATTTGCTTACCTCAGCCCCAACCAGGGTGGGGTTGTGGTGGGTATAGACTCTATCTCCATGCTAACTTTAAATCTTGTCGCTGCCCCCTTGAGTAGAATGATAGGGGCTCTAAAGGTTGCCAACTGCACCTGGGTATCCAGGTTCACCAACCATGCTGGGGTGGGGTAGATATTCACTCAGACCCCACTAACTTTAAATCATGCATGGGTAAGGGTAGCATGTCTGCAGTCCAGCAGCCAAATCTGTGAAGCATCCCCCCCCCCCACCACCACCTCTTATTTATTATAATGGCCACTTGCATAATGCTTCCAACGACTATGAATTTGCATACAGTATGGGTATTTTGTTTAATGTCCACCCAGCAAACCACTGCTTGGCTTGCAAGCTTATCAATCGCACACATGCGCCACCATTCTCCATGCCCAGGAACAGTTTGATTTGCACCCACACTTTGTCGAGCAGAAGGCAAAGTGTGTGCCTGGCTTGACTGTACTTTTTATAAGCAACTTGCATGTGTAAAGATGTCGGCTACATTATTATCTGCTCAGCTTCTCAAGTAAATTTTTTTTAATTTTCTTTATTTAATTTTTATTTCCATAACATTACAATTTCTTGAACTTTAAACCTTTATATTCAAGTATTTATTACTTTATGGTTAGGTTTTTGCAAACCATTCATTAACTTGCTTGCATTTGAAACTCCCAGCCTAGCATGGCTAGGCTGGGAGTTTATATATACAGTTCTCAGCAAGCACAGTTACAGATGTATAATCAGGGTTAAACTAGCAATTTACAATAAGGGACTAATTCAGACAGTAAGACCAGATTTACAAACAGTTTGTTGGTCCAAAGAAGGTTTTGTTTTCCAACGATAACGTTTTTAATGAGATGAAACTAGTGCATTAAGCATTCAAACAATTTAATATATTGTATTAAAGGGTTTCTTATTGATAAATATTTACAATGCTTGAATAGTGTGCTGGGCTATGAATTTGCATGTAATGCCAAAATTCGTATTTTTTTTACTGAAGAAATTTTATTTTACTGTGTAATTTTATAGGAGAGTCATGAGGAAAGGATGCAGTCCTAGTTTAATGTATCGAGTAAGTTGATATACAGCATGTACACGTGTAGGCCTATATATAGTAAGAGAAGCATACAGTGGGCATATCTGTACTATTACTCATATTGACATTAAGTGCAGCAGTATACAGAGGTCAACGCAAATGATAACACATAAATTCCTTTTGTGTATAGCGCTTCATTGCCTCTGTGTAAATAATGATAACAATTTTTAATAATGATGAAAATAATAATTATTAATTATAATGATTATTTTCTATATAAAACTACTCATTCTCTGCTAGTCAAAATTGACAGTTCGTGAGGTAAAATGTGTCGCCATTTGGGGGTTATATAATTTAAGATAGTTGGCATAGATTATAATGATGATCGTAATAAATAATAATAGTAATAATAATAATAATAATAATAACAATAATACAGTAATAATAAAAGCAATATATAAAAGCCATGTTAATAATATTTATATTAAGAATTATAATTATAGTAGTATTAATATTAACATATATTTTTTATTTACTGATATTACAGTAGTACTATGCAATCATGAATTTCCATAATTTAATTTAACTTTTTAGATATTTATATAGATATGTATATTAATATTTTTAGACTTTGTATGATAAATACCTGTTTGAAATATGTATGCACACAAATTTTACACAATCTGTACTTTAATATTTATTTCTCAGAAACGTTCACTTGTTTAATAAATTACTTTTTGTAGCACAGTAACATCTGTCCTGATTCTTATTTCATATGCTTGCAAGAGAAATTATACGTTTATGGAGACCGGCCTATGTGTACCTAATGTATATGCAAATTTATACGATACGTGTAAACAAAAGTAATTTATTCTATTTTTAAAGAAAAGACCGTGTATGCAACGATAACAATACTACACTAGGAGATGCTGTAAATAAATACAACATTGATAAATATCGGTAGTATATATCATACGCGCATGCTCTTGAGATAAATAAGTATTACGTCATTCGTAAGTCTGTTCATACTCATACATCATGAATGTAATGTATAAACAAAAATCTTTTGGAATGTGACTTTTTCCCCATTATGGACTGATCTTAGTATAGTAGGAGCATTACCACGACTTTTGAGGCACTAACCCGAATATCTTTGTTGACCATACATATACATTTATTTACAACATAATTATTGAATGTATATTTACTTCCATTGGTAAATTTTAAAGCTTGTATCGACATAACCGTCATTAGTTTCGTGTACGCCGTTAGATTGAGCCAAGTACAATTCCCCATCCCTCTCAAAACTGCTCCAGCTCCAAACCGCCCTACCTGGTAGAGTTGAGTGCTCCACGAACATGCTGCCCTCTAACTTGTAGATCAAGTTTGTAACGCTGTGTGTATTTTCGTTCGTCCATTGGGCTCTTATATTTGATGTGACCATGAAAGCCTCTCCACCAACCTGTAAATGACGATTTAAGGGCGGACGTTATGGCTTGATCTTATGAGATAATATGCTCATTGTAGTTTAAACCGATATACTATCTTATCTGAGATTAATCAGTGGGCCTTTCGGTAAATCAAACTAAGGTAATTCAAACAGAAAAAGTTGTATAGTTTTTCATTATTCAACCCGTTATTACAGACACATCAGCATGATTATGTAATGACTTAAGGCCTGTTTGTACTTCAACGAAAACGATAAAAAAGCTGAAAAGCAATTGTTCATATAGAAAATAAAAGAAATAATAGAAGTTTTTACACTAGAACGATTCGATAACGATTTATTAGTTATGCGATAACAACATATTTTGACAAATCAAAATCAGATGACATCATAACCATGGAAAACATTAAAATCGTAGTATTAGCAACGATTTTATCGTTTTTTAATGATTATGACGTCATCTGATTTGATTTGTTAAAATATTTTGTTATCGTTTACACGATAAATCGTTATTGAATCATCCAGTGTAAAAAATTCTCTTATTTCTTTTATTTTCTATATGAACAATTGCTTTTTAGCTTTTTTATGACGTTGATCACTTTAACGTTGATGAAGATAGCAGGAGCTATCGAAATATCCGTTTGATTTTATTATAGCTTAATACATTTGTGTTCCGCAAGTCAACTTTCAATGATTGTACACCGT